TATCTGTGAATTTTGCCATTTTATTTGAAAGCAATAGAAATAGTTTTATAATATGTTATTGACTTCTTAACTCCAATTATGCACGGATTCAGAAAACATTTTAACTTATCTTCCTCTGAAAGACATTGACCCGCACAAATCCGATTGTGAACACCAGTGATTTCGTGAAAACTTATTTCCGTGGTCGGCGTAAAGTAGCTTTCGCTCTCAATGCGTATCATATCCAGTGAACATATGCGTGAATTATATCACAAAATTTTATGAATTTGCTATCATTTATCATTTTGCTATCATTTATATCATTTGCTTTCATGTACACAAGAACTTCGAAACACAAACTTCCGTCAGCATTTTAGTTAAACAACGATTTAATTCGGAATTTGAATAAATACGTATTTTATTATCTTCAGAAGAGGTCACGTAAGCGAGGTTCAGGAAGTCATGTAACGGCCCTTGACACATCTTCTGCTCGCAACGCTCAAGGCTTCCGATGCCGGAAGAAGAAAGTGTCATCGCGAATAAAACTTGCCTACTACGGAAAGGTAGGAAATTACGCAAAAGTCTGGACCTGTGATCGCAATTAAACATTCATGGCCATTGAACTAATATTATATTTAATCGGTGGTGATAGTAATGTTTAGTTGAAACTTTTGTTAAAATAGGGTATGCGTAAGTTGAATTAAGGAAAGACGTTGGCTAGGCAGATTTCTTTTTACACTATTTAAACCTAATTATTTTGACCAGGTAGCATATAATGAGAAGACTGACGACGCACAAAAATCATTATATACACCGGACAAGCACGCATAGCAAATAATACGTTAGAAAAGTTTAATAAAAATTATATTTTGCAGCAATTTATCAGTGCTTACGCTGTACGATTGAAGAAGAGCGAGCCCCGTCAATGCACCGCCAAGTCAGGACAAGATATGATTTGATTGCGTCAAAGTCTTTGATTGCGTCAAAGTCTTTGATTGCGTCAAAGTCTTTGATTGCGTCAAAGTCTTTGATTGCGTCAAAGTCTTTGACTGCGCCAAAGTCTTTGACTGCGCCAAAGTCTTTGATTGCGTCAAAGTCTTTGATTGCGTCAAAGACTTGGCCAGAATACTGCCCTGTCTTTCAACAAGCTGTTCATGCAGCATTTGTACGAGCTGTTCACGTAGAATTTGTATTTGATTTCCACATGGTCTAATTTACCTGCTGCACTGGTCTAATTTTTACCTGCCGCACTGATCTAATTTACCTGCTGCACTGGTCTAATTTACCTGCTGCACTGGTCCAATTTACCTGCTGCACTGGTCTAATTTACCTGCTGCACTGGTCTAAATCAACTACCGCATAGGTTTAATTTAATTACGCATATGTCTCATCCAACAGCCGACTTGGTCTAACATAATTACTGAGGCGGACTTAATATTGTGTACAACATCCCGATGCTGCTGGGGCAGGCTTAATATTGGTTTGATGCAAATATAAATGTGCGTAGCATTATGGAGACTGAAACTCTGCTCATTACGACATGCATTGTTCTGCATATACGGTATGCTCCTTGTGACATGCTGTATGCGGCGTGTCCTCACGCATTCAACAACAAGAAACAATAATTCACAGGCGAAAATAATTGACAAGAAAACTGATCGAGATCCTCACTCAATTGAATTGTTTAGATTTCCGACCTGCATGAGAGTTTCTTCCTAATTCGCTTATAGAGATATTACAGAAATGGCAAGAACAAAACACGTTGATATATTGAAAGAAAAGCTCTACGCACAAGTCGGGACCAAACTTCTCGCTTCGAATCACCGACATGTGGAACAGCCTTCCCGATGACATCGTTGGCGCTCCAAGTATGAACGCGTTCAAGAACAGACTAGATAAAGCTATGGAAAAATATATGTTCAGATTTGAAATGCCTAGCTCCTTATCGAACCCGGTGGAAGTCTAGTAGCT